TGTCTACTCCACTCCACCCACATGGGAGGTTCCCAGCCGGCTCTATGGCTCCTGGGATTCTGGGGTTCGAGGTGCTCAAGGGGCACCGAGCTATGCTCTGGAGCATCAAGGGAACATAGGAGGTGGATCTTTTCCCCGTGGCATTCCTGGAGCAAGGTTTTTTCATTCTTTTTCATACACACCGCATTTTGGGAGGTCCAGGTCTGAGATGAGGGACATGCAGCCTGATTGGGCTTCCCTGCTACCTGGTGTTCCCAGTGCTCAGGGAGCAATGCAACAGCTGCAGGAGCAGAAGAGCTGTTTTCGTTACCCACTGTGTGAAGAATGGCAGCAGAATGGCTGGGGAACGCACCCTCAGCAGCCCCAGTAGCCTGCGGATTACTGGCAGGAGCTGCCCTCCCAGGACCAACTTCAAGTGTAGCGGAATCACAACACCGCAGAGAACAAGGTGCCTTTTCCTCTGTCCCAGTAGCAGCCTGGAGATCGTCAAGGTGACGGAGAGCTCATGTTCTTGCAGAGCACAGCTCTGCGGGTACTCGGTTCTCCAACAGAACCTCACGAGCAAGATACGCAGCAAGAAGGTGCCCGAGATGCCCAGTTCTGAAATCCAGGACATTTCGAAAGAGGAACACACCGGTGCCAACTTCTGGGACTAGAAATGTGGCTGCAGGAAATGGCGTTGGGCTTTTGAGTCAGCAGACACCTGTCATACTACAATTGTGTACCTGGGAGTCTAAGGTTCTTGAAAGAATGGAACTAGCTCATATTGTACATCCTTTGTACGTGGCTGGTTAGGGTTGTAAACGTATTTTCTAACATGTTGGCATTTATATTCCTGAAGGACATTTTGTACTGGGGATTTTACTGGTAGTTATTGTAGGGGTTTGTATCATGTTAAACTAGGATTATAGGAGTCAATTATGCTACCTTTCTTACTATTTTCTATAATTTTGTATAACACTGCACTTAGTCCTTCATTAAACGTTTGGATTTTCCAAAAAAAAAAAAAAAAAAAAAAAACATAGGCAGATACAAAAAAAGTACACAGGCAGAAAAAGTGGATTTATTTGAAAGGAAGAGTCATAGAGAGAGAGAATGGGGTGGGGGGAGATGTTCCATTTGTTGGTTCACTCCCCAAATGGCTGCAATGACCAAGGCTGGGCCAGGCCAAAGCCAGAAGCTTCTTCTGGATCTCCCACATGGGTACGGGGGCCCAAGGACTTGGGCCATCCTCCACTGCTTTCCCAGGCACATTTGTAGGGAGCTGGATTGGAAGTGGAGCAGCCAGGACTTGAACCGACACCCATATGGGATGCCAGCCCTGCACGCTGTGACTTAACCTGCTGAGCCACAGAGCTGGCCTCTTGGGGGATATTCTTACAGGTGTGTCCCAAATCCAGCTTTCAGGCAGTTACTAAATAGAAAAGCCAATAGCTTCTCAGCAGGTACCTGTTCGCACATAGAGGAAGGGTGCATCTTTCATGTCCCTTAGGGGTGCCTGGGAAATGCTGCCCCCACCATCAGATTGGCCTCCGTAGATCAAGTGATATTTAAAACCAAGATTTTTCTAGCAGGAAATGCATCACAATCCAAATCCTAGCATGACAGAATCCTTGGCAAGCCCAGCCTGACATCTCACTTGGTCACTCAGCCTTCCATGGAATTTGATAACACAGAAGGACCATGCCTGCCTATGGTCCAGAGCTCATCTGTAGACTTCAGCCTCAGGAGTCTCAATCATTTAAAAACCCATCTCCCTGAGTTCAGATAATCATCTTCCCTGTGATTTACAGTGTCTGGCCTGTAGGTGTGCAAAAGGTGCTCTTCGTTTAGCCAGATAACATTAATCCCAGAAAGGATATTTTCACAGTTATCCCCCCCCCCCCGTCCCCCGTTACCCACCACCAAAATCAGCTCCTCCCCTCCAGCTGTGAATCCGTAATATGCCTTGGGGCATATTTTGTCATTGACAGCAAAACCTTATCATTCTACCCCCAAAATGGAAAGAGAAAAATACCCACAAGGATCAAGGAGAATGTCACCTTACACAAATCTTTCTTTCTGATAAGAGGTGACCCGGAGCTAGAACTGGAGATTTATATATGCATTTTGACATAAATCTGTATCTGTAATTATGAGTCATAACGATCTTTATAGGCTGCACTAAATTGGTGAAGAAGAGTTACTGTTATTGACAAAGCATTGACCTGAACATTAGTGGAGGAAGAGCTAATTATTTTTTTTTCTGAGGAGTAGGCCTTCTTTTCATTTGGAACTCAGGTCTTTGTTAAAATATCCTTTCCCCTTTGAAAATAAACATAACTGAGTCTCCCAAATATATAGTATACCTTCACATAATTACAGGTATATAAAAATCTCAAACTCACTATAGAGGTTTTTTTTTTTTTTTTTTATAATTTCAAAGATAATGATCAGAGTGCACAAGGTGACTGGAGAGGCCAGCCCCTGTTTTGTGGAAGCCAAGTGATCTGTGAGTTGCACTCCCACGGTGGAAGGACCCAGTCCTGTTTTTAAGCTGAGCATGCTGGGATGCAAGTTGGAGCTAGCGCTATCATTAACAGAGCTCTGTACGGCTGACTACTGAGCGTAGGCAGCCCAGAAAATGTACTCTCAGAGCTATGGAAGGTTAAAGAGAGCTTTAAATCACAGCCTTATCATACTTGCATGTTATTGGCAAGTCTGCCTAAAAATAGAATCTCATTACTTTAATTCCACAGTATTCTTAGGTTAGCCAACCTTTATTATTAATAACAGCATTTCACATTTATATAGCACTGTCTGCTCAAGAGAACTTCACAAATTATACACATAAAACTTTCCTACCTTAATGTAAAAAGCTATGGGTTAGGAGGGCAGGTGGTAGGTGGTAAGTAGTGGCTTCCACTCTGTGTCCAGGGAGGACAGAGAAAACTTCATCAGGTGACTCAAAACAAAGCCACCCTTTGAATTTAGACCATTTGCTCAGCAAGCACTTTAATTCTTGAATGTTGTATTTTTCATTGATCGGTGAGACTCCTGGGACAGTCACAATAGCCCCAAGAATAATAAGCTGCTTCTATGATACATTTTATGTTTATCTCTTCAGGTTTCACTGCTTTTCCCACTTTCTGACCAAGCCCCCATGTTTCTAAGGAGCCTTTCTGAGGGTTTTCATGTCCATATTCACATGTTCAGAAAGGAAGGAGGCTGGAACATGATCAGCCGCCCAGAGCTTATACCAGTAGCTTACTGAGGATGTGTGAATGGTCAGCAGTGTTGGTATCTATGTTTTCTGCATAAATGCAGAGTGGACATATAAACAATGCCTTCTGAACATAGACTAGTGCTATAGGCAAATTATAGTTCAGCAGTGTAGCTGAATAACTGAGGGGGCGGTGAGAGAGAATGGACGGACATGCAAGATATATGGTGCTAATAGGTATTCAACAGCCTAAAATTCACTAGCACAAACATGTGATACTAATCTTTACATATTCTATACATTTAGTGTCTTTAAGTGGATGTGCATGTCATCTAAGAAATGGGCCAAAGTAAGTGTTTCCACAATAACATTTACAAAGTAACTTCCCTGAGTGAAGCACTGTTCTAAGAAGTGAGTATGAAAACACAGAATAAGACCTTACCTCTAACCAGCTTGTAGCTTAGAGACGTGAAAAGGAATTTCAATCAATGGGAAAAGCATGTGGATAAGAACAGAATCCAATCCATCAGTAGTTACAGGTGCCCGTCAAAGAACATGACCAGGTCCAGAGGCCTGGAGGCAGGAATGTCACATAATCCCAGAACAGAAAATTGGTCAGTGAGACTGGAGGGTACCTAACAAGGGCAGGCAGCGAGGAAGCAGCAGCATCCTGAAGGAATGGGAGTGCCACATGAGGGCGCTCTCAGGGCTTTATGCTGATACCAGTGGGGATTTGCCAGTGCAGCATTTCTTTTGATGAGATGGAAGGAAGATTCTAAATAGAACAAGTAAGATCGTCCAGCTCCACCTCAATAGTTGCCTTTTTTAAGCTAGCCTGCACCATCTCTTTCCCCTTTAATTTCCCTTTCTTCCCTCCATGTGCTCTTTTGCAGTAGCTACATTTCAGCACTGAGAGAAAGCAAGCACACCAGGGCTTCCTGTGAACTCTGAAGTAAAATCAATAGAAAGACCCTGAAGACACAGGCTGGTACCGAGGCACATTCAATACCCCCAGCTGCTTTTGTGACACCAGAGCCTCAGAGACAAATCCGACAAAATGCCACAGCCTTGTGTTCTTCTGATGGTCCAAGGCATGGGAGGAGGGACAGAGGGGAACCGCATAGAAAGGGCATTTCTCTTGCATTGACCATGACAAATACACATGTTCAGGAAAGGAAAGGTAGCCGGAAAGCCCATGTGTCCGATCTGGACAGCAATGCATGCATGTTCGTGTTTCAGAGACCAAGAAATGCTTCACAGAAGGCCAGTGTATTCACATTAACTCCCATCATGTCACTTGGCCATGAAGACTTCTGTTGAAGGGACCAATTCAAGACCTTTCTTCTTCCTCCCTTTCTTCCTTGCTTAACCTCATAGATGTTCGTGCCCTTTGAGGCTTTCACAGAAGACCCTGTGCTTGCTAACTTGGATGTGAAAAAGGAAAATTGGGCTGATTTTTAGGAACTGTTCCTTCCCTTTGGAAAGTCTTCTTTCAGATGTGCACTTGCAAATGCTAGTAAAGTTTGCTCAGCTGTGAAAAGGGGGATTGGGAAAGATTTGATGAACCCATCCACAGAAAGGCTAACACAGACCTGGCTGCTACATGGCCATCTAAAGAAATGTCAGCTCCCTTTTACCTTCTCATGCTTCCTTAGAGCCAGATTGGTTTTAGTATATTTTTCACTCCAACCTACAGATCTTGGATGCAATGTGATAATTCTTCCTGTCTACCAACTTCCAAGGATGGGTGGGAGTTTAGGTACATATTTCATTATTGGATCCTCCAATAAGTACTTACATTTCTCAGTAGAATGGTGCCTTTAGCAAATGTTTTCATTGAATATTTTCTATAAGAGAAAAGAACTTATGCTTAGGCTACAGTTTGTTGGAACTATATAAATATACAATACCCTATGATTGAAGACCAATTTGGCAACAACTCAAGACACATAAAAATGCTCATATTTTCTCAATTTGTCAACCTTCTCATTTCTAGAGATCATTCCTGAGGAATTATCCAGAATATAGGGAAAAATACAAATATGTTGGCCATAGTACTATTTGAGGTATTTCAAAATTCACAACTTAAATATCTATCCACAGAGTTATGGTTTAATTCATGTTGATACATCCAGTCACTGGAATACTAGGAACTTAATCCTGAGGGTCTGTTGGGAACTTCCAGGTGGATTTTGCCATGGTCTAACCTGGGAGGAAGGTTTGGAAGCACAAACTTAATGTTCTTTCTAGTACAGCATCTTCGTGAAAAGGGATGTATGAGTATTCAAAATGGCCCCTCATTTTGCTCAGACATACGCATAATGAGGTAATGGCTCTTTGAATGTGGTTACCAAACCCCAGCAGTACAGAGGTGACAACCTCCTGTTTCATAATAAATGAGTAGATACAAGCAACTGCTCATTGATGGCAGCAGCCTGCTCTATTAGCCACTTTACATATATGGACTCATTTTTATCCTTACAAAAAACCTGTGAGGCCTTATTAGCCCATCTTAAAGATAATGAAACTAAATTCCAAAGCAGTGCAACTGACTGAACTACAAAGCCAGTTGTGAAATTGTCCTAAATATGAGATGATAGTGTGTGTGTGTGTGTGTGTGGCCTCTGTAACCTCTCAGCAGCTGTTCTTTTTATAAACACCATGCAACAATGCCTCTAGCAATGCTAAATAACCTGGTTTTAAAAAAACAGGAAGCATTCTTTTGGTCTGAAACAGAAGCCATTGACACCATGTAACTAAGTTCCGGAAGAATACTTTGACCAACACCTTCAGCCAGTGTCGCCTGTTAGTAATTAAGACTCCTACTCTGTCGGTTTAGGGCCAGTTCCCTGCAACACTGCAGATGAAGTTCAACAGGGCTCGTGGTAAACGGTGCTCTTCATGATTCACTGTGGGAGAGCCTGATATAATGAAGAGCAACTAGAACAGCCACCCTGGAGAAATGTCATACAACACTTCAGAAAGGGGAGGAAGGGAAGGGAAACCTTGGGAAAAGTAGGACATGAGTGAATTTAAGAAGATTATCTTGGGGCCAGTGCTGTGGTGCAGGGGGTTAAGCCACGACCTGCCATGCTGGCATCCCATGTGCCAGTTTGAGCTGTTCCACTTCTGATCCAGCTCCTTGCTGGTGTACCTGGGAAGGCAACAGGAGATAGTCCAAGTATTGGGCCCCTATCATTCACATGGGAGACCCTGGATGAAGTTCCTGCCTCCTAGTTTGAGTCTGGCCCAGCAAAGGCTGTTTTGGCCATTTGGGAAATGAACCAGTGGATGGAAGATCTATTCTCTCTCTCTCTCCCTCTCTCTCTCTCTCCTCTCTGACTCTTTCTTTTTTTTTCTTTTTTTTTTTTTTTGACAGGCAGAGTGGACAGTGAGAGAGAGAGACAGAGAGAAAGGTCTTCCTTCCGTTGGTTCACCCCCCAAATGGCTGCTACAGCCGGTGCACTGCGCCAATCTGAAGCCAGAAGCCAGGTACTTCCTCCTGGTCTCCCATGCAGGTGCAGGGCCCAAGCACTTGGGCCATCCTCCACTGCACTCCCGGGCCATAGCAGAGAGCTGGACTGGAAGAGGGGCAACCAGGACAGAATCTGGCACCCCGACCGGGACTAGAACCCAGTGTGCCAGCGCCGCAGGGAGAGGATTAGCCTATTGAGCCGAGGCACCGGCCCTGACTCTACCTTTCAAATGAATAAATAAATCTTTAAAAAAGGAAAATATTCTTAACCACAGATGTCTGACCTGTCATTTGATGAAATTAAATAAGGAAGATATTGGGTTATAGCGATCCAAATAATCAGTTTTCTCAGAATAAGAGCATCCTTCTTAAAAACAGTCTTTTCACATAAAATATGAAACTATCCCTCATTGAACATACTGTTCACCTTTTATTACATTCAAAGCTTACTTTTTAAAGGATGGCAAGATCTTTTAAGATTTATTTATTTTGAAAGTCAAAGTTACAGGGGAGGGAGGAAGATCTTCTACTCACTGGTTCATTCCTCAGATGGCTGCAACAGCCAGCACTGGGCCGGGCTGAAGCCAGGAGCCAGGAACTTCATCTAGGTCTCCCATGTGGTGGCAGGGACCCAAGCACTTGGGCCATCACCAACTGCTTTCCCAGGCCATAAGCAGGGAGCTGGATCAGACATGGAGCAGCAGGGACATGAACTGGTCATCCATACAGGATGCTGGCACCACAGGTGGTGGCTTTACCCTCTGTACCACAATACCAGCTCCCCCAAAGCTTATTTTTAAAAAGCATGTTGAGCCAAGTCCCATTTTCCTGTCCCACATCCATTTATTGCTCCATAGTACCTTTCAGACAGACATACTGGATCAGCCTGACTTCCCTGGTAGATGTTCAAATGACCCACTGGGTACCAGAGCTGATGGGGACGAGGGCCAGCTGGGGCTGCCCCAGGGAATCCAAGCAGCTTCCAGTGAGCCTGTAGCTGCCAGAAAGCCAATACTCATTTCAAGAGGAAAACCTAATATCAGAAAGGCCAAATGTTGTTTCTGACCATCATCCAGGCTTTGCTCTATTTGTTGGAGTGTGTGCTTACACCTTTTATGGCTTTCAACCCCAGTTTTCTCCTTCTAGAAGTTCCAGGATAGTTACCCCTAATCTGAATTTGAAATAAACATTATTTTGCCTCTCCTCTCCACTTCTGCTCCTTATTGTTGGGTTGTTTTCTGAACCCAGAACAATGGCAAACAGGAACACCATTCAATCCTTGTTGTTGCTGTGGTTGTTAATGCTAGGTCTTATTTAAAAGAGCTGTTAGAAACAGATAAAGCTTAGCTTGCTAGCCTCACTGGGCTGGCACATGAAAACTACGGAAGAAGATACATTTTAACTGATGCTAGAGAAAAATTGCATCTCTACAGTGTGCTTGGGAAAAAAGCCATTGAACGGAAGGCACAAAATAATTGCACAACATCTCAGAAACTTTGCTCTCAGCTGCTTGATGAGCTATTTGCATCTCTTCGTTGACTTTTTTTTTAGAATAATGAGATGAGCCACTTTTTATTTCCCCTCCTTTGGAGTCTCAGACTTGTCTAATCTCTAATGAACACAATTCACATTTTCCTGGCAGTGTTGGCTATCAGTACAAACCATTTTACTCATTGCCTCATACTGCCAGTCAGCAAGCAGGGACCTAATTAGCTCTTTTCTTTAATGGCAACAGTTAAATTTACATTATTAATTTAAATATTACAGACTCTGTGGACTTGAGCTCAGAGCTGACATAAAGATGGAAGATGAATAATAAGGTGCTGAAAAACACCAGAGTCATTATTCCCATCATGTTCAAACTTTTAGCTATAATGATATCAATTAAAACTCTAATCCCAGCAAAAAGCTTTGCTGCTTCTCTTTTGTTACAAAAACTGCAGTTAAAGGTAGGGCTGGGGTGTTCAAGTTATACTTTGCAAAATGTAGGAGTCACATAGATCAAGAGACATAATTACAACTGTAATTTTTTTTTCTGCTTTTCTTAAAATGCCCAAATGGTGAAAAGGCAGCATGCTCTCCAGCCCCATGCTGTGTATCCCTGGTTTCTCGAATGTCCTCAAGTGCTGCAATCAGTCTGCAGTGTCAAAACCTGTTTGGGTTGCAAGACAGATGGGACTTTCAAAATGAAATGTACCTATGACTGTTTGCTACTATATATATAAAATGTCTCATTTAGTCTCATCTGTGATTTTCCAAGAGGAAAATGTTTCCAGGAGCAATTTATCTCAGTCTTACAGGTTTGTATCACTGAATGACCATCTGAAAAACAGGCCCAGAATCTTCTCTTAAAGGGAAACTGCCTGAGTGTGTTACTCCAAGGTGTTTTCAATTCAGTACTTGAATAGTGTTGATTCACTTTAAAATAAAGGAAACAGCTACATGGAAGAAAGTGAGAACGAAACTTCAGATTTGGTGCGTGAAACCTTTCATTTAAGTTCATAGAATAGTTCATACTATATCTGTGAAACCAAAACAGCTGGTAGAAAAGATAAAATCCATAGGCAATCTTTCTTCTTTTTCATTTTTGTGCCAAATTCAGCCCACTGGCTCACCAGCTACTTAACCAGCTCTTTCCTTGAGTCAGCCAGCTGAGCTCTTCCCTGCCACGAGCTTGCTCCCCGGCGAAGGCAGCCATCTCCCTTGACAGGGCAACAAGACAGCTGCAAAGATACCCCAGCCCCTGGACTCCCAGCCCTCTTTTATAGCCTATTTTTAAAATTAAGTAATTAATTAATTAATTTGCCTTTGAGATTCTAATTTTCCCTTTCAAATAAATTCCTTGCAGTCAGGCTCTGTGTCTGATTTATTTCTGTCCCCCCGACAATGCTTAGCACTTGGGAGGAGCTCGATGATGTTGACTGAATGAGCTGGAAATGAGCTGGCTCCAGAGGGGTGACGCAAAGGTTCACCCATCAAGTTTAAAGTCTCGTTTGCTTGGGTCTCATAAAATGCATTGTTCCGATTTTTAAAGACTAACAATGGCTTCACTATTTATTTAAATCCAAAGACCTGAGTTCAAATTATACTGATTTTTCTCAACAGTGAAGTGGCTCTGTTTGAGACTCAGCTTCCATAGCAGCAAAATACAGACAGAAGTGGCTTCTCAGCTAAGATTATAGAAATGGGAACCTTAAAACTTCCTGGTAAAACTGGAGTCTAAATAACAAAATATATAAAACCTGTCTGTTAACTGGAAATTTTATGTGAAAGTGTAAAGGGTTATGACTGTCAATAAATGCAGCTGCAACTGTGTTCAATGAACACAGCATGAAGGCAAAGCAAAAGGACTAAGTGTTCAAAGAGGACAGGCTGTGCTTGACAGGCATCTAGTACTCTTCAAAGTTGGGTTAGTAGGGATGGGCATTTAGCCTATCAGTTAAGACACCAGTTGGGACACCCCTACCCTACTTCCAAGTGCTTGAGTTCAAGTCCTGGCTCTGGCTCCTGATTCCAGCTTCCTACTAATGCAGACGCAGGGTGGCAGCAATGGCTCAAGTAGTCCCTGCTACCAACATCGGAGACTTGGATTGAGTTCCCAGCTCCTAATTCTTTGGCCTGGCCCACTCTGGCTGTTGTGGGCATTTGATGAGAGAACTACTGGATGAGAATGTTCTTTCTCTGTGCCTCTCCCTCCCTGTTCTCCTTTAAAATAAATTAAAAATGATGTTAGCAACCAATATTGCCTTTAAATGGCAGTTAGGATAGCAGTCGACAGTATAGACTCTAGAGTTAGAATACCAGATTCAAAGTCTAGAATAATAATAGGGTCTGCCTTTTAGGATCCTTGTGAGTATTAAAGAAGACAACTTATTTAAAGGTCTTAAGATAGTGCCTGACAACTGATGGGTCCTTAGTGAGCGTTAGCTATTATCAAATAATCAAATTGTATATAATTCATTATTAGCTCATCTATATGTACATATATACCCTGAATTGTTTTAAAAGTAATTCCTTGTATTCTCACCTTTCCAATGGTTAGGGGCTCTTCAAGGAATTTCACAGGACTTCCCCATAGACGTCATAAGTTGGTGTTCTCAGGACAGGTTAGGAACAAAATTCATGCCCAGGATATGTTGACAAGAGACAGCAAAAACACATATCGTCCACTGTTTATATGTCAGCGAGTCTACTGGATTCTTCTGTTCCACTCAGGGTGCCACTTCTGGCTGAACAGGAAATTTGGGTCACATACCTAAACAGTTCTGTCCAATGACAACAACAGGAGCAATCACTTGGTGAGGGCTTGCAATGTATCAATCACGATGCTTCAGGAGCTTCACAAATTTGATCAGTTTTTATCTCATGTAACTCTCTAACATGCTACTATTCTTACTTGAATTTTACAGGGGACCAGAAGACGTGACTGAGGCTTAAAGAGGCGAAATTAATTTGGTGAAAATCAAAAAGTCAGAAATGACAGTATCATGGCCTGAATCTAGATCACTGGGCTCCCAAACAAACACACACACACACACCCCACTATATAATACTTCTTGTATGGAAATGCACAGGAGTAGGAGGCCTAAGATTTTGGAACTCCAAGAGTATGCTGAATCTACTCAAATTTTTAAGAATGGAAGAAAGTCTCTGATCTAGAAGTAAATCTCAACTAAAGTGATTTTTCTGGTTGTTAACTCAGAGCCCCTGTTTAGGGCCAAAGTCAATCCCAAATCTTGTGAAATCACAGGCATGTGAAGTATGGCGCGAGGCAAAGGGACACCTCTCCCCTTGTCCGTGTTCTCGGCCACAGTCACATTTTTAATGTGTTCTGACTCATGGGGCAGAGAAAATTAGCAAATTAGTAGGAAGAAAACCCTAACTTTCCCTGCTTATGAAAGGTTGAATTAGTTTTGTTGGAATCCCCACAGCCAAGATACTGAAGAGAATGAGATTTATGATACAACTTTTTTCCCAGATGGGAAAGTGCTTTACTAATGCAATTCATTTGCAATGAGTAAATTGGTCACTGTGGAGGTTGTATTAAGTCTCTGAGGCCAATTCAATTGGGGACTCAATAAATAAGCCCTTCCAGGGCACCACACAATGTCTCCCAGGTCAGAAAAGAGTCCTAGATAAATAGCAACCTCACCACCTTTATTTCTTCTATCCTTGAAACATGCTTTTGAGAAACGTGGAAAGGATTCATGCTGTTGAAGAAGCTGAGGGATGTAGGCAATAAGGAATGGATCAGGAGATCTCAGTTCTTGTTCACTTCCATGGCCATTTCAAGTCCCCATTTCATGAGTATCTCCTAGGATAATTCAGGGGTCATGTTTTAAACACCGATCAGCAGAACGGCTAGATCGCCACAGTTTGCTGACGCTGAAACTCCCTTGGCTCCACATTCTGCTCTTACTGCTTCTGTTCTGTTCTCACCCTTGGCCATTCTGAAGGGTTTCATTCTTAGGAGGGGCACCGCTCCATGCATTATGTGCTGATGCTTCCTTCACGCTAAGCTCAAGGTCATTGTTTATTAAGTCAAAGTTGGCACTGAGAATGGAAATGGATGGGGAAAGGATGTGTATTTGAATTCACATCGTGTAATTTATGCCATGAGTCCATGGCATGTGGCACGTATAAAGTATTTTTTTTTTTTTTTTTTTTTTTTTTTTTTTTTTTTTAGTGAACCCAAGTAGTCCATGAAGAGGTGAATAAGTATAGAGTGAAATTGAATTTTGGAAAATAAACAAACCTGTATTAAAGAGCAGTGCATGTCACTATGCCACAGCGTACTTCTTTGAACAGATTTTCTTTGGAAAAGTAAAACTGACACATCTGGCCTCGTTGGACTATTAGGATGAGTTAAATGTTGACGACGGGGGAAAAACCAAATCCTTGACTAGAGGGGAAGCCATTCTGTCTAATGCAATGGATAATAATTCTGTAGTTGCGCCATCCCAAAGTCTATATAATGCTCCTTAATTCTGGTATATCCCATGTAGGATTTAAAGTGTCTGGAGGGATTTGCTATAAGTGTTGTTTTATTTTGTTTTAAACAAGGCAGATAGATCAGAACTGATAGGGTCTTTTTTTGGCCTTAAATAAGATCTTTGTAAAATATGACCACTAATCTGGTCAATGTGCTTGGTCAACGTGCTTCCTTTAGTAGTAGTAGTAATGTTATTATTTATTGCCTCATTTATGCTCACGATGTCACCATTGAGAGCTCAGAATTTCTGATCTTCAGATCTGCCCTGTGAGTAATTTGCCTTCTTTAGATATTTGATGGATGGCGTTGTATGAAAGAGATAATAAAATACTCCGATGAACAATGTACATATCTATTGTGAATTCTACATTAAAGACATCTCAGAGTTTGTAACGGATACAGAGGTTTAGTTCTCTTGCTTTCTCCAACTTGCCTTTTTCCATATCACAAAATTTGCTGAATGCACTGTTTGTCTTGATGTCGACTGAGTTATTTATCAGAGGAAAAAAACAGGCAGCATTGTTCAAAGCATCGTTAAGGAGATATTATTTCAGATAACAATGTCATTAAACTCCTGTAAAGGGGAATGTAAGTATTCACATTTTCAACATTTCTAGTGGACTGTAGCTATGGCTAATTAAGGAAAAAGTCAACTAATTTATAATGTTTGTGCTTCATGTTAAATCTGATAATATATCTGAAAATACAAAAACCACAACAACTCCAGCCTTGGCTAAAAAGTAAACCTTTAATTCAGCGTCACAGTTGCCGTTTAGAGTAATATAATAAAATTCTAATTTTGTAGTGACTTCTCGTTCTTAAGGAGTCAAAGGCAAAAGAAAATTCTCCACAAATCTTCCACGTTCAAAGTATCCACTTCAAAAGAGGACTTTTTTTTTATCTCCAATTTATCCTGACAAAAATTCTCTTGGGCTTTTATTTCAAGAGATGAAAAATGAGCCATGGCAGTCAATGGTGTATGGTGACTATTTATCTGTTTACACCTATCCATGTGATTGCTGGAAAAGCCAGATTAGACTTTGAATGTAATATGAAGAATGTATGCTATTCACAAGTCCATAGTCCTCAGAGGAGAAATAGGTTAAAAACGCAAAAGTAAGTTTTAGAAACCATGCATTTTACTTCTGTGACCAACAATTCAAGGCCTTTTTTTTTTCAGGTAAAATAGATATGGCCAATTTTTAAATAAACACACAACAAATCAATTCCCAGCTTACAGTTCTTCCCAACACAAAAAACCCACAAAGCCAATTATTTAACAATGTCTGCATTTTATGTGAGAGGTTCATTGTAGAATATCATTAGTACACTAAAGACGACTTTTATTTGTAAGATTCCTTGGCAAATATCTTTACAAAGCAAAGGGCACTCTGATAATTTTGATAATAGTCCCGAGTCGTTCTCATTTTGTAGCTCCTGACTTTCGCGGACTGTGCTCTCTCTGTAAGTGGGTGTGCACCTGTAGGAAATTTTATACGGCAGCCGCTCAGCCATAATCAGAAAGCAAATTCATTTTCAGAGGCAAGTAGGAAATGCACGATGGCATCCAGGCCCCTTTTATGGCCACATCTGCACAGCTCAGGGAAAAGTTTGCAGATATGTCTGCTGATCGCGTTACAGTGCTGTTATGAGAGAATAAAGCTGCACCTTTGATGGGCTATTGTGGCAAAGTTAGGGGTCCCCAGTCATTAGAAGTTTTGCATGTCACACAGCAGAGCAGATTGGAGACCCAGAAACACTTTATGCAGCTCCCTGGATTTTCGTCATTTCCATCAAATATCGGTGGCCTCATTAAGTGAAGATAAAACACACACACGCACACACACACACACACACCCCGGCGATAAAGATGACTTTAGGCTCTGACTTTCACCTCTGTGACAGGAAGTTCACTGTGCTCACACAGCTCCTCCAGGACACCAGCTGAGAACAGGGCTGCTTTCAGAAGCAGTAAGTGATTCCATTCTATTAATGTCCAGGTGATATGTGAAGCCCATTATCACATCACTAATGTGGCGGCAGACATTTCCTGGCCAACCCGAGGTAGCTCAACTGTTTGTCAAGTGCGTGACTGGAACACAGAATCCTTAGAAATAATTTTAAGTTTCTACTAGCGCCATGGAATGCCACAAATAACCAAAACAAGGAAACAAAATAAAACCAAAAAAACCCTGATCTTTTAAACTTCAATGCTACACAAAAGATCATAGGAAACAGTTAGTAAAACAATTTATAGTACTTAATTGGAGGGTTTTGGTGAAACGTTTGTGTTCTTGGATGCCACGGGACACGTGTTATCAGAGAAAGCAAGGCATGTGGCAGCTGGGGTGGGGGTGGCGGTGTACTAAGAATGTAAAAACCAGGGGTACACGCAGCTCACTGTCACAGCACATTGATGGCTGTCTCTCATCCTCCCCAAGGACATCCTCCTAACACACCGGGGGTCTCCTCTGCGGTCCCCCATTAGGCAATGTGCTGTGTGAAATCACTGGAGGTTCCAAGCAGAAGAATCAACCCCTAGACACATCAGGTATACTGCAGTACAGAGATAAATAGGCAGGCTAAAAACAGAATCTGTAATATAATTAAAAATAACCCCTGCTACCCGAGTTGAAGAAGATATTGGAAAATGATGCACACATTCTTCTTTAACATTTTGCCAGCAATTCTGAATCTAAACAGCTCATATTACACAGAACTGTAATTTGTTTTCTGAATAAAGGACCCACCTCAAACAAATAGAAATCTATCATTTTCCAGAGAGCAGTGAAGGTCTACCCAGTAAGCCTGATTATTTTTAATGAGGTATGTGGCTTTAAAATGGTTGAGATTTGAGTTCTAGGTAAAGTTTTTTAGATCTAAAATGAATACAGTAAAAACCAATATTGATCATTAGGAGTACAGGTGCTAATTGAGCCTGTAAAACCTTTTAAGAACTAAGAGGAAAAAATTTCCAGTAAGACCACAATAAATTACTATTAAATAACCAGAATATTTGTGAGGAATTTAATGTCAGTACATCAGCCTCCCTTTAATTAAAAAAAATAGTGTATTCCTGATTCAGTCAGGAAGACTATTCCAGTAATATTATAAGAGCAGACTCACTTTGGCCAGTTACCTTTTCAACTTATATTTCATTATGTTCCAAAGAAATCCACTTTTTAGATTTCTTATGCTTTTAAGAATCCACTGTTAATCATTTGTGTTTTTTCCTCCTCCCAGGTCTTTCAGAGCTTGATACACACTGTCCTC